CGTCTCCGCTGAAGCCCGCCATGATCGAGATTGGATCTTTGAAACCCTAATTTGGGATCGATATCGCGAAGAAGGAAAAAGGTTTGGGGATTGGGGATCTGGAAAGTTTGGGGAAATAATAAAAGAGAGATGAGTGGCTTACGGGGATTGGAGTTTTCGGTCAGAACGCGAGGGGTGTTTTTTGTATAAAGGACCCTGCTTTTATATTATTTGAAGAGATATATCTCACGCGTCCTCTGAGGTCCTGACGGCCTGTTTGGTTCCGTCAAATTTTTAGGAATCCTGTAGGTTTGAAAAAAAAGTAGGTTTTTTGATATTATAGAATTTCAAAACTATTATTTGGTTCATCTTTTTTTTAAAATATCTTTCTTAAAAGCTAACATGACAGTCTACTTTATGGAAAGCCCAAATCCTCTTTTTAAGCTCGGAAATGGACTAGGAATCTGACAACTTATCATTTACTCTCACAACTCTCTAAATTATTTGGCAACGAAACAAACATGAGTTTTGGATATGTTTTCCTATTCTTCACTTCACCATTTCATACCAAACACAAGTTATGGATTCCTTTGAGCTCCAAAATTTTTTTCGGAAATGATTATTTGCCTTAGAATTCATTTTCATTATTTTTTTGGAAACGAACCAAACAGCCCATGAATGGATTTTTGCTTTCTTTTGCAAATTAGCCATTACAGATCTTAAGAATGCAGATCGTTATTTTCAACTTTTGAGATCCGCGTTAGAGGATGATGGTATTTTTCGGGTCTGTGTTCTCTATATTCTTGCCCCTAGAGAATGCCTAAAATTAGCTATGATGATTGATATTATCGGTGAGTCTGAGTAAGCTTTACAATTAAATATTTTTTCGCATAACTTTTATAATTAAAATTATTGATGTGGTTCACTGGGTGAGGAGATTTGACGGGTGAAATTATAGAGTTTCTCACACATAATGATGTAAAGGATCTCTCCGCGTATTTTTCACATAAAACAACTATGAAAAAGTGCAATTTTATGTTATGATTATTAATTGTTTAAACTAAATCTATGACACATTCGTTTGGTCTGATAAAGTTTTTTCAGTGATTTGATAATTTTGGTTTAACTCTTAATTTTGATTTGATTATCGGTGTACGCTTTATCTGTTCACACAAGGTTATTCAGAAAATACCTCTCCCTCTTATATATTAGCGGATTACAGCACGTAATAAAAATAAGTTAAGAGGATAAACCCTTTATATGTTTCATTTGTTTATATCATCCCCATATATTTATTTTTCATAGAAAATAAATATTGAACCGTATAAGCATGAGTGAGCACCTTGAGAGGAATTTTTCAAAAGTAAAAAAAAAAAAAGGCAGGCTCCGGCAAGACCAATGGTCATAGAACTAATGTAGATGCCATTTTCATTACTCCCGCTTTATGCCATAAATATGCTTAGATTAGACATAACATATGCAACTAGCTTTAAGATGCACAAATTAGATTTTCATTTGTGCCATGTTTGGGAGTTCAGGAAGGAAAAGAATGGAAAAGTAAGATAGGGAAAGGAAAAGTAGGGAAAATATAATCTTTTATTTGGGAGGTTTGTGAGGGGAATGGAAGTGCACTTAAATCATATTGTTTTGGAGTCCTAATTACAGGAATGGAAGGGAAGTAAATAAGTCTTCATCATTGATTAATCATGATAGAGTGTTAACATATCTCTTTCATTATAAAATTTTATTTTCCTTCTATTTCCCTCCGTTACCGTCCAATTTGAGGGTGAAAGAAACCGTGAAAGTTTTTATGAAAACTTCCCATTCCTTTTCTCTCTTTACCATCCTAATAAAACTCCCAAACGAAGTTAAACTTAAAATTCTCTTTCCTTCCCCTTCTCTCTCCCCCCCCCCCCCCCC